TCGGTTTATCATTATCGAAATTTCAAGAACGAGTCAAGAATAAGATAGAAGAAAGAAGATGGTGGTTATTTCACGCTACGGATTTTCAGTCCTCCATGTATCCTTGTTTCATCTTTTGTCGCATTCTTGGGATACTCCCATACAAGATCAACGCTTCATCCTTTGAAACTCCTAAATCTTACAATATTCTATCAATTATAATTATGTGTGTCTTCTGTTCTTACTCATTAATAATATTATGTATGGGAAACATTTATGGATGGTTCCATGACAATGTACGCAGAAATATTGCAACTAACTCTTTCTACATATTTAGCAATTTCATACTGATTGTCACGTTCGTCTTAAGTAGTCCACGAATACGTTTGCTTCAAATGATACTTCAGATCTCTTCACGACTACCTTCAGAATCATATCAACAGTCGTCTATATTAATTCACGCCAAGGACATTTTTGGTTTTTCTTTTTTATTCATCCATGTAATGTTGTATTATAATAACTTCTCTATTACAACCCATTTATCGACAATCTACCTTCTTCTGCTAGTGTTTGTGATGGATATGCTATACATAAATTGCGTTTGTGTATTAAAGGCTTGTTTCAAAAAAATTAACGACGATCTGGCAAATTTGCTCATAACAAAAAATAAATCGCATTCAGTCATGTGGATCTATCATGAGCAGAGGAACCATCTTTTGTTAATGGAGCTGAACGACTTGAAGAAGCGACATTTGATGATTAGTGATACAGTACAAAGATTAAATATAATTTTCAGTCCGCAACTCCTCGCAACCACAGCCTTATCTTTCATCGATGTGACTTTTGAACTATACTTCAATATGATAGAATGGAAAAACGGATTGTATATCAACCTGGCTAAGCAAATTCATCACGTACTAACCTACATCACATATCATTTTGTAAAAATAGCGTTGATAGCATGGGCCTGCGAAACCGGCAAAAATCAAGCTATAAAAATTAAGACTACTATTCATGACGTGCTTAACAATATTAACGACGAACAAATCAAACACGAGGTATTGAAAAATTATATTTCTATGAATTTTTTTTAAATATTCCGTATAGTGGTACACATTTTTTATATGTAAAATATAATCACGCAATTTATAATCACTTTTCTTAAATATATTTTAGATATTTTTTATGACACTTTACTTAATATTTTTTATTACAGTTGCACCTGTTTTCTTTGCAAATAATGCATTGTGATAACATATTTTCCGCAAAAGGTCTCTCACTAAACGCGACGCTTGTCAGAGCGGTAAGTGATCAACAATTTACCGCAATATATATATATATATATATATATATATTGTTTGAATTTTTAAATTAAATTCTAACATTTAATTTATGACTTTTCTTTTAGATGATGGGTACTATCACAACGTATTTTTTAATTTTAATACAGTTCTTGACCATGTCACATTCTTGTGATGGAAAGACTTCAAGTAATGTTACATAAACAATCTAAATCAGCACAAAGAATCTTATAAAATATAATCGGTAAAAGAAATTTATTTTTTAATATTAAAAATACTTTCTCTTTTTTATTGCGATTCTTTAATGTAATCGATCAATGTTTCATATTTTAGAAGTACAAATACATTTAAACGTATAACATAATTATATTTGCTTTAAGTTCCTTTTTTAAATTATCAAAGTCTTTGTAAATAAAAATAGAATATGTAACATTTTACAATTATGGTTATTTAGAAAGTATTTATTTTTATTGAAAATATTTACAACAAATTTCATATCTAATAAATGAATTAATTTCTATTTATACTTTAATAGATTGTACCGAAAATTAAGACAAATTAACAATTATCTAAAATAAATTTAATATTTAATCAATATTTTGTCTAAATACATTTATGATTCAAGTTTTATTCATTTTTATAGAAAGTTTTATTAAATTTTTATTAAAAGAAATGTATTATAATATGATCGTTTCTTTCTGTTATTGTGCTCAAAACGTAAAAATCTAATTATGTTAAGATAAATTTTTGTCCATAGATCATGTGCTGTATCTTTTGTCGAAAAATTAATAAAATTATTAGTTGGAATATTAAGATACAGTTAACTCTAATTTAGATATCTGTTTATATTAATTCTAAATTTAAATAATAGCGGTGCAATATATAATTCAATTTTACTAACTTTGCATTCATTACATACAAAATATGTTCGGAAAATATTTGACTTACACTATAGAAAAGAAGGACTATTATTTAGATCAATAATAATTACGTCCCTTTCAAAATACTCTGTTTTGGAAGTCACAATTTTTTTTCAGCTCTGCTCTTACTTTTTTACTAATTGCTTCCGCAATCTTTCATAAAAGCGTTTAAAAATATCCAGCAAATGCCTCATTGCATTTTATATTATGTTCTCCACATCATTAAATCTCTTTCTTTTTAATTTCGGAAACAGCCAAAAATCACACGGAACTATATCCGAACTATATAACAGAGATTATCAGACTTCGGATATCCATGTTTCATAAAAAAATCGAAGATAATATGGACAGGTTATCATAATAAAGCGCTAGTCAAGGCTTTTTCATAAATGAGACCGTTTTTTTGTCACTGCATAAACAAATTTGTTACTTGATAATTGTAGAGAACTTAGAAATGCTACATTCACGATTTTGGACACTTACACAGCGTACCATTGTTGACTGAAGAACTACCAGATTATGACGCTTGACAGGACACTCAATCAAATAGAGATTCCCTCCATAAAGAACACTCGTGTTCTACAATGGTACATTCAGGTACAAAGATATTGGTATAGGTCGGACTTTCCAAAACCTCATATATGTATGTTTTTCGCTAATGTTAATGTTTCGCAAAATGAAAACGACATTTAATAGATGCACAGCAATATAAAATATATTATAACAATATTATATAAAAATCTATATTAACTCATTATATTTTAATAGCCTCTTCAAAAATAATTTTGTAATGAACCTCGATTAATAAATCGATAAATTAAGTACATAAAATAAACATTAATAACCACTTCATCATCATTGCATAATAATGATAAGTGCACATTGCTCCTAGAGCTCCATGGTTACTTCATGTTAACAAATGATTCGTGAGTCATACTTTATAATCCGTAAGAGCCATTTGTAGTTTTAAACTTACATTCACAGCGAATAATGAGTGACAGTTTCTTCATTCGTTCCGAAAAATCAAAGTAAAAACTTAAGAAAAAAGTTTTCAAAAATAATCATGATCACGTTAGAATTTTGAAGTGCTCATTACTTCAACGAAATATTTAAACAATTAATAATATGATTAACAATTTTCAAACAACTCATCCATGACACGTCGTCAATCATGTTCAGTTTATTATTATCGAAATTTCAAGAACGAGTCAAGAGCAAGATAGAAGAAAGAAGATGGTGGTTATTTTACGCTATGGATTTTCAGTCCTTAATGTATCCTTGTTTCATCTTTTGCCGCATTCTTGGCCTGCATCCGTATAAAATCAACGCTTTACTTTTTGAAATTTCTAAACCATATTACATTCTATCGATTATAACTATATGTGTCTCCTACTTTTGCGCATTGATAATAATAATACATTTTTAAATGGTTCGATCAAAACATACGCAAAATTATTGAACTTATTTCGTTCCATATAATCGGTAGTTTTATAACAATCATTACGTTTTAAGCGAATTCGTTTATTTAAAACCCTACTGCAAATCTCTTCAAGATTACCTTCAGAATCATATCAGAAACCGTCTATACTAATTCATGTTAAAGATATTTTTGGCTTCTTCTTCTTACTCGTATATACATTGAGCGGTTATTACAACTGGTATTTCTCCGTCAAACTATGTTTAATGTACTTCAATCTGGTAACTTTTCAAATAAATATGTTCTATATAAATTGTGTTTATATATTAAAAACTTGTTTCAAGAAGATCAACAACGATTTAAAAAATTTGTTCACGAAGTATGATTAACCACATTTAGTTAAGTGATTTTATCATAAGCAGAAAAAGTCTTTTCTGTTAAAGGAACTTAAAGCTTTGAAGAAACGACACTTAAAGATTAGCGAGTCAGTGCTAAATATAATTTTCAGTCCACAGCTTTTTGCAACCATAATCTACATCATCATCGCCATTACTTTCGAATTGTACTTCAATATAATAGATTGGCAAAATGGATTGTTTATCAGTTGGACAGATTAATCGCAAAAATGCAATGCCCTACATTGTATTTTATGCTGCCAAAATGACATTAATAGCGTGGGGTCTGCGAAGCCAGCAAAAATCAAGCCATAAAGATTAATACTATTGTTCATGATCTGCTTAATAACACTAATGACGAGCAAATCAAACATGAGGTATTGAAAATTTTAATTTCTGTTCATTTTTTTCATATTCCGTATCATGATACATTTTTTATATACAGAATAGGGCATTTAAAGTATTACAAGTTATGTAACTATCATTTTTTAAAAACTATGTATTTTCTTTACATCAATTGATTCATGTCATTATTCTGTGCCTAAAGATATTAAAATATGTTTATAAAAAAATTATAGATTACGAGATATGTTCTGTTCCAAAATAAAATATAATATATCTTGTAAACTGTCAATTTCAATATATCTATTTTAATATTTTTATATGTAAAATAATTAGAGGAATCATAATATAAAAGAAAAAAAATCATATTATGTTATTTAAAAAAGTAGGAGCAACCTCTAATAACCTTTGAAAAATCATTCTTTTAAATTGATTTTATCATTATTTGTCCCCATTGAACTCAACTTTTGTTTAAACATATTTTTGATTCGACGCGTACTTCCAAAGATAAGCTTATAATAAATGTTCAACCTTGTATACAGTTTATAATTACGTTTCTCAAATCAATTTGTAAATGTTTTTTTATTTAACATTACAGTTGCAATTGTTTTCTTTGCAAATAATGCATCGTGACAACACATTCTCTGCAAAATGTCTCTCTCTGGACGCGACACTTCTCACAATGGTGAGTAAACAATCAATTAACACAATTGTTTGAATACCTTAAATTAAATTACAGCATTTACTTTATAATTTTGCTTTTATAGATAATGAATATTATCACTATATATGTTTTAATTTTAATACAATTCTTGATCGCATCACATTCTTGTGACGGAAAGATTGTAAACAATGCAATTACACAAGCAATCTAAAATCAGGCGTTCATAACAAAAAAGTTCCTAAAACAAAATGAATGAAAAATTTATTTTTAAATACTAAAATACTTTCTTCTTTATAATTGCAATTCTTGTAACGCATCGGTTAATGTTTTATATTTATACAAATATATTTAAACATAAGATAATTACTATTTGTTTTAAAATGTGATTCCTAATTTATCAAGAATTCTGCAAATAAAAATAGAATACATGCAACATATATTGACATTATGATTACTTAGAATTTATCGAAAATATCGATTTACGATGAATTTCTATCTAATATTTAAATTAATTTTTATTTTACGTTAATAATTTTTTTGTTACTAGAAAATAAATAATTATATCTAAAATAAATTTAATGTTTTAACGTTTAATTAAATATTTTGTGGAGTTTCAGTTGCACAATTCAAGAGAGAGAGCTTTATTATAATAATATATATTTTTCATATAAATTTCTTTTACCATTATCTTTTTTTATATGTATACTTATGAATGTCCGGGAAAAAAATATTATATATATTATAGATATATTTTATAATAATTAAAAGAAATATATCAATTTTTTATATAATTATATATAATTTTATGTAATTTTATATAATTATATATATATATGAAACATTTTTTCTGGGTCAATAATACTATACAATAATATTAGACCAATTATTATCTACTTTAAATAATTGTTTAGATTAACTTTCATCTAAATAATAGCATTGTTATTTCAATATCACTTATTTTTATTAACTTTGCATTCATTATATTATATCTATATCATCATAGTATATCTTTCGTTACAATGACAATGTTTCACAAAACACAAACAACTCTAATAATAAAGGTATACAATATAATGTACATTAATACACTTAATATTATATGAAAATCGCAATTATCATATCGTAATAATTATATCATAATATTCCCGAATAATAATTTGTAGTTCATTCTGATATAAATCAAATTTTTAAGATAAATATCAATGACAAGTTACTTTTGATTAAAACTGCGTTGATAATAATATTTTTATGTCAAATGTTATAATTCAATCATAATATATTAAAAATAATATTACAATAAAAAATGTATGTATTAAATAACAAAAAAAAATTTAGTTTTAAAATATTTAAAACGATAAATGTCCAATTTTGAAATCGGACAGTCGGTATTAATATATTTTTAAAAACTAATAATTTATGATTATGTATTCGACAGTTTCTATTTTACG